TTTTTTCTTTTTGCTTATGTGGTGCTGAGGAATCGAACCCAGGGCCTCATGCATGTAAGGCAAGCGCTCTACCACTGAGCCACCTTCCCAGCCCATTCATTGGGTTTCTTACCCAAAGCAAGGAGAGCCCTGCCTCTGGTCTGCTTTTCCAGTAGGACACATAGAGCAAGAAGACTGAGGGACCAAAGTTATGGACTTACCGTGAGTCCTTGTCCTAGGTATGTTTTGACTTCCCAAGACTGTGGAATTCTTTTTTTTTTTTTTTCCAGACAGCTTGAGTCTTGTTTCTAGGGCCTTATGGAAACCAGGTCCTACATCTCCCTAACCCAAACATCTTCCCAGATCTTCACTTCTGACTGTGTGGGCTATGTGCCCACCATTTCTGCAGGGGCCTGTGAGTGGCCATTGGGAGGTAAAACAGGCACAGGTGTGCCACCTGGAGTTTCTGCCCGTGTTAGAGGGAGACAGAAGCAGGGCCACGTGCCTTTCCCTTTCCTTACTCTACCAGGTCAAGTCACAAGCCTCTGAGGTGTCTAGAATTGTAAATGGAGCTCTCATGTCATAAAAAAAAAAAAAAGGTCATACAAGGTAACTGTGCTAGGTTACTTTGCTAGCTTGGGCTATTTTAACTGTTTAATGTTTATGTGTATGGTATGTTGTCTTCCATTTGTGTCTGTTCTGAACCTCAAATGTCAGAGACAGGTCTTTTTTTTTTTTACTGTTTCAAGGTGCCCATGTTCTGAGTGCCCCATCTTATCTTGTTTTTAAATTTATTTATTTATTTATTTGTTCATTTATTTTTTAAAACAATGTACAGAGGGATTACAATTACATGTGCAAGATAATGAGTACATTTTTTATAAAGTATTGTAACGTCCTCTTTGTTTCCCATTCCCATCTTTTCCCATCCTCCTCCAGAGACAGGTCTTTCATAGTAAGGATGGACACATTTAGGGAATTAGAAACTAATTATTAAATTTGAATCTGGAAAGTCTATTGTTATAAAAAGGAAGCAGTTTTAAGTGCACTGTGGTTGGCATGTTCTGCCTTTTCACAGGGATCAGTTAATATGTAATTAACTGAAAAGTTATATATTCATTCTAATGATTTATTAAACTATATAACAGGATTTTTGCTTTCTCCATGAATATTGGTTTCCTCCAGTAATACATTAAAATAAAAATAGAGGCCAGGCGCTGGTGGCTCTTTCCTGCTCAGGAGGCCGAGATCTGAGGATCAAGGTTCAAAGCCAGCCCAGGCAGGAAAGTTTGTGAGACTCTTATCTCCAGTTAACCAGAGTGGCACTGTGGCTCAAGTGGTAGAGCATTCACCTTGAGCTGAAGAGCTCAGGGACTGACTGCATCCAGGCCCAGAGTTCAAGTCCATGGCCAACAAAAATAAATTAAATAAAGATATTGTTGTTAACTTTAAAAGTCTTCTATCTCAGGAAAATCTTTCAGATGTGTGTACTGTAGACTATATTTTCTCTGTTCTAAGACTCTACCCCTGGCCACCACCAAAATAAACCAAAACAGGCAAGCTCACATCTCTGGAATACAACTAAATATTATATGTAGCATCTTCATGCACACACATGCACAGTGTTTGCATGTGTATATGTTTGATTTTTCATTCCTAAGACTTCAGCCTTCGAAACAACAGAAAGGAAACTTCCTATTCTGAGTTCCCAGCCCTTAGCGGTTCCCATGAGTTTTTGATGAGAAATACTTGCGCGTGCGCTCTTTCACTTGACTCTCCATCTGTGATTTCTTTGTGGGAAAGAAGGAGCAATAATAAAAGGTAAAGAGGAATTTTTTTCAGATTAAGGAATTGAGATGTCAACTTTTTTATAATTTCATGAAGAAATTATTTTTGGTTTCACTTTTCACATTCAAATATAATTTTAAGACTTTTTTTTTCCTGTTCTTACCTTTCAGGTAACAACATCTTCAGTGAATAAAGACAGTAATGTTGAAGGTATCGTATATTTTAGATTCTGATAGGCAAGATATCTAAGTTTATTTATTATGGTAATGGGAACTGAAAAATAATTAACTAATATATAAATGAGGTGAAATACATTTTAAATATGAAAATTTTCTGATGAAATACCAAATTTCCTAATTTTAGAAAATGAAGAGAAATGCACTTATTACTTTTGCACTAGAAAATTATTGCAGTGACATTTTTGTGTGTGATGAAGGAAGTAATGAGAAGTTGTAGTTAGTTCTGATAAACTTGAAAAGAATTACAAGCTGTATGTTGTGGTATACGCCTGTAATTCTAGCTCCTCTCAAGGCACAGGACTGAGGACCCAAGTTCAAGGCCAACCCTGGCAAAGTTAGGGAAACCCTGTCTCAAAAACAAAATACAGACAAAAGGGCAGGGGCTGGGGCTGAAGTGGAAAACACTTGCCCAGCTTCCTTTAGTCCCTGGGTTCAAGCCCATGTCTGTAAGAGTAATGAGTTTTAACTGAAGACCTTAAAATTAAAATGTATAGTAGGATTGAGTTAATTCCATGTTCTTGATTAGCATTATTTGAAGTTGTTTGGAAAATCAAGTAATAATGTTCTGGGTAAATTTTTCAAGATACGTGCACATATATGTATATATACATATCATTTGTCTTTGGAGATATTGCAAAGCTTTCTAGTGTAAAATGCTACAAGAATATTTATTCACCTTACAAATTCAAGGACAAAATGAGAACTATTTACTTTGAATGCATTTGTAGCTGTTTAGAATTGTCCCTGGACATCATTTCATAGCAATAGTGTGGACAATAGTGATAGGACAATAGTGTCTCATTTCAGATAATTGATGGGCAGTGAAATTTATAGCAAGTGATTTTCCTAGAACTTTCCACATTATAGGAAGGGCACTTAACTTCTGTATTGTTTACTGGAGACTAAACCTATAAAGTATAGAAAATAACGTGGGAATGTTCTAGAGTTTGTAATGTATTTTTATATAAGGTTTGAGCCAACTGAGAGAACGTAGACAAGAATTTAGAAGGAAGTAATGTTGACAGCAGAAATATGATATACTGAGATTATTATTCTTTATCTGCCTAAATGCGTCCCAAAGATCTTCAATTAAATTTGTTCTTCCCTATCTTCCACTTCTACTCCTCCCTTACCACCTTTCTTCCCTCATTTTAAGCAGAGCAAGTTTGGCACTTCCTTGGCAAATGAATGGAGGTTTTGAAGTTTTGCCATCAAGATTTCAGCCTGTAAGGAACTCTCTTAAATGCAAGAAATAAGCAGGTCTATAAGTATTTGCTAACTTTATGTTGAAATTTCATTGACATTTTTGAAATATGCAATATGTAAATAAATAATTTTTTGATTTGTCTCCTCTGGATATTTATTGATATATAAAAAGAAAAGATTTGGCTTAATTTCATAGGAGGAATCTGGGGACATTGTTTTGAAGAAATAATGATTTTAGTAGCTTGTGTGTCTATAGATTAAATGTAAAAATCACCAACTCAATTCATCAATAAAATGTTTACAGATGCTGCTGTTTTTATTTTTTTTAATTGTGAAAATACCATACAGAGGGGTTACAGTAAAATTCTTATTTTTATGCCATGTTATTTCTTTGCTGGAAAAGCCTTTATTTAGCCAACCTCTGTCCTTTCTTCCCAGTGTCTGTGTAACTTCATTATGGTTATTGAACTCTTCCCTGTATTTTGGAGATCCTAACATCTTTTTTTATTGTTTCTGTCAGTTCTCTTCTTCATGGTGATGGCTTCACATCTTTGGAAGGTGTCCAGGTCTTACTCCTATGCTTTGCCTATTGCTATCTTTTTAAATGCCTTTGGCCTCTCTTGTCCTCAAACTTGATTGTTGGCTTTTCTTTCTCTGTCATTGTTTTAGGTGCTGGTACTGGGGCTTGAATTTAGGCCCTCATATTTTCACTTGGCTTTTTTTGGGGGGGGTGGTCCGGTCATGGGGCCTGAACTCTGGGCCTGGGAGCTGTCCCTCAGCTCTTCAGCTCAAGGCGAGCGCTCTACCACTTGAGCCACAGCACCACTTCCGGCTTTTTTCTTTTTGCTTATGTGGTGCTGAG